TTTTCTCTCGCGTGAAGGAAGCACAAACGTGGAATTTCACTGGCGCGTTCACCCGCTGGTGCAGTACGTGTGCGCGCGTGTGTGTGTGTGCTGCACATATATATGATGCGTGGGGAGCGGTAACGTAGCGGTTTGCGGGCTGCACTACGAACCCGGCGGTCCGAGTTAGATTCCCGTTCACGGCCACCAATACCAATGACAATTATCTGAACTCGTCATGGGGGCCCCCCTCGGCTATACGGGGGATCTTTGTCATTGTATTTGGGTGCCTGTGTCTGTGTGTCTGTGTGGTGTGTGGGTTATTCAGCCCAAATGAGTACCTGATGCGGTGTGTGAACATCACCACTGGGGAGACAAAGGCGGCCGGCGTGGTGTCGGCCACCCACATCTCCTCGCATGCCGTGCCGGCCTTCATAGATGCTCGCTAACATCACTTGCCCCAACAGTCTACTCGGTCTATACGGGGGAATCTTTGTCTTTGCTATATATATTTTTGTTTCTCGCTCGCGGCTTGCAAGGTTAAAGGAGCGACAAGCAAGTCTGGCTGCTCACTACCACGCACACGCAGCCCCATCTTCAATCACACTCCCAGTTGCCGCGCGACCCGGTCTGCCCTGCGAAGTGCGCATAGCACGGGCATCGCTCCCCCGTTCCTCCTGTGTGCTTCTCTCACTCTGTGTGTGTGTGTGGTGGTGGTGGTGTGAAGCGATGGCGGGCCAACAATTTTTTGAATTATTATTGTGTGAGTCACTCCTCTCTCTATGTGTCCAGCAGCAGAATTAACGAGGGAGACTGTGAGTGTGGAGAGGGGGGTGTGGGAGTCTTGACCCTTCACCACTTGGCATTAAGATCCAATTGCATGATATTTGTCACCGTGGACAAATGATGCCCTTTGGGGGGGGGGGGGTTCAAGAGAAAGAAATGACGATTGAATGAGTGAATGAATGTCTGTGCGGCCACCAATTAATTCATATTTGCAGAAACACGTTGGATGGTCCATTTTTCGTTTTTTTTTTTATGAATTCGTGGTTTGATGGCAAGGAACGATTTTTTAACCGACGCCCGGTGATGCGATGATGCATCACGGTCCCACCGGCGAGAGGGCGGGGTCGTTTATTTGAATCGAGATAATATTTTATCGATTCTATTTTATTTTGGGTTCGTTAATCATCTCGTTGACTCATTAGTAGCACCGTTTCAATCGGAGTCTTTGCGTTTGCATCAGTTGTGGATCGTCGATACCCACGCAACAACGCATGATATGAGCCGTGTGTCGTGCTGATGACGTTTGATTTTAATATATGTACTTCGTGACAAATGCATACAACAAATACACGGGGATCATCATTGTACCATCATTGTCCCTTCATTGTCTCATCATTGCATTCATCAAACTGCATTGGCAGTGATGCACATGCACAAACAACAACTCAACACATTCATCTAATATCACTAAAAGTACAGAGATAATAAAATATACAATAAGTAACGTTTAGGGAATGACCCTTCTTCATGGCAGAGAGATCAGCAAACAGAATCAGGTTTTCAGAACAGCGTAATAATGCACGGTGCCATGTGTGCGATGTATATGGGGTCGGGGTGGGAGGGTGGTCGGATGTTTAAACCCATACACTGGGCTCATTGATCGATGGCTCAGTGGTTAATCCGGATTAGAAACGAGGCTTTGGGAGCGGCGTGTATTTGGGTTAAGGAGAGGAGATCGGAGTCAATTTGGTGGGGGTTGGTGGGTTGGATTGGTGGGTTGGTGGTTGGGTTGGTGGGTGGTTGGGTTGGTTGGTGGTTGGGTTTGTAGGTGGGTGGGTTGGTGGGTGGGTGGGTTGGTGGTTGGGTGGGTGGGTGGGTTGGTGGGTGGTTGGGTTGGTGGTGTTGGGTTTGTGGGTGGGTGAGTTGTGGTTGGATGGGTGGGTGGGTTTGTGGTGGGTGGGTTGGTGGTTGGGTGGGTTGGTGGTTGGGTGGTTGGGTTGGTGGGTGGTTGGGTTTGTGGGTGGGTGGGTTGGTGGTTGGGTGGGTGGGTGGGTTGGTTGGTAGGTGGTTGGGTTGGTGGGTGGTTGGGTTGGTGGATGGTTGGGTTTGTGGGTGTGGGGTTGGTGGTTGGGTTGGTAGATGGTTGGGTTTGTGGGTGGTGGGTTGGTGGTTGGGTTGGTGGTGGTTGGGTTGGTGGGTGGTTGGGTTGGTGGGTGGTTGGGTGGGTGGGTTGGATTGGTGGGGGGTGGGTTAGTGGGTGGGTGGGTTGGTGGGGGTGGGTTGGTGGGTGGGTTGGTTGGTGGGTGGGGTTGGTGGGTGGGTGGATTGGTGGGTGTGTTGGTTGGGATGGGTGGGGTGGTAGGTTTGGTGGGTTGGGTTGGGTTGGTGGGTGAGGGACACGTGGCATTGTTCTGTGAAGAGGGAGACAGAGAGGAGACGGGGGGGGGGGGGGGGGGTGCGGTGCGCGTTGCCTCCTGCTGCAGACAAAGCTTTTCGTCTTGGGAGGCGACGCAGGGCTGGCAAAATAAAATAAACCCAGCCCTGACCTCAAATGCAAATTGGATTCAACTCAATTTCCAAAAATTTTAACCAGCTGATGGCGAGGGGGGGGGGCAGCTGAACTACAACCCACGTGGGTGCTTTAACGTCGCTGTCGTCTGTTGTTGTTGTTGTTGAGAAATGAGGCATGGGTCTCCACGGAGTTTGATTTTGCAAAGTCGGTCTGTGGCCGGGGAGAGTGAAGGCTGTCTATGGTGTCGGCCAATCAGTTTCACGCACAACGCGAATATTATCAGAGCCACGTTGACTTGCGTGTTCACCACAAGCACTGTGTGTGTGGGTAATGCAGTACTTGCTTACTTGCAAAAAATGTATCTCTTTGGTCTTGATTAGAAGCTTTCGTGACTGCAGGAATCCATACTCTTTGGTTTCTCTTTGGTTTTTGGTTTCTTTCGGTAAAGTCACGTAGGTAGAAAAATGAAATAAAATAATTATTTTGTTTAAAATAAAATAATTATTTTTATGATTGTTTTATTTTTAAATAAAAAAAAGTTATTGTACTTGTACGGTAGTCGCGATCTCATCGAACGAGGCGCCGGATTTTTATTTTTTATTTTTTAATCCAACCACCGAGTCACCTCGACTGCCTCTCCTCTCTCTCTCTGTGTCTCTGTACCAGCGTGGACGGCACCCTCGTGTTCACCTTCTGAAGCGCTCGCTCGTCGCCGTGGCGTGCGCGATGGCACCACCACCACCACGTGACTTTTCTTTCGTGTTGTGCGTGGTGCATTGAGCGCCACAGCGCGTGGATTTGTAGCGTTTATTTGTTTGCTGGTGACTTTGTGTATTTCATATCGGAGTCGCCTCCAATGATGTTGCTGCTGACGGCAATAAAAGTTGTTTAAAGGTCAAAGTCTGTCCCCCGTCTCCCCCTGTCCGCACTGATGCGACAGGAGGGGTGGACACGAGGCACATCGAGTGCGCGTCCCTCGCTCACGAACGAACGCCCCATCACGGGGTCGAGGTATTTGGCCTCAGCGGCGGTGACGGCCGGAAGGCTGCGAATTCAGATCCCGGCTCGGGGTTGACTCTCAACCCATCATCCAGAAAGCCGGGGTGGGAGGGGGTCGATAAATTTGAGTAACCACTTTAACGTGCGAGCCAACCACGAGTTGGCTGTCGTAAGGCCGCCCCTCCCCCTCCCCACCCCTCGACCCGCCACCATGTTTAAGTGTACCTTGTGTTTAACTTCTTTAGCACCGTACGTTGCCGACCGCGCTCATGGGAGGTGCGCGGGCGAAGGACAACGAACTAAGGACAGAAAGAGCAGTTCTAAAGAAACGAGTTCGTCAATCTAAGTGCGCAGCTCCACAGAGAACGTTCCAGACGGCCGCAGATGCTGGCACCATCTATGTTCGATGGGCAGCCAAAAGCCGCCGCCGCCGCTGCTGCTTGCGAGGGATTAGCGGAGTTGGCGTGATGATGGGTTCATGCTCCCTGACGAGATCAGCGAGGGTGTTGTGGTGGCTCGCTTGTGGCGAGAACTTTGTGTGTCATGAGTGCGACGATGCACGAGATGTATTCGTTCTGCAATCAAAATGTAACGTGGAATTTCCACCCATTGGCTTCATTGGCGCTGTAAAAACGCGAGGCTTCGATGGGGGGCGGCGTGGTCGTCATTCATCAGCAGGTTGTTATTTTAGTTTCACTATAAACTTTGTATTTTATTATTTACCAGGTAAGGCCCACTGAGCTATACAGCTGTTTTTCAGAAGCGACCTGGCCACAAATGACAGCTCATCAAAGTGGCTTATCATCATCATCATCACGTGGAAATGTGAAGCAGCAGCCAAATGCTCTCAAACGCGTGACGTTGATTCTGAATATGGAGGGAAAAACCGGAAGACGCGGAGAAAAATCCACGCGACCACGGGGAGAGAGAGAAACACCGCAAACTCCAAATATATTCCAAATATTCCCGCACCCCTCCGATTAGCACGGCTGGCTGCGTATGGCGCTAAATAAGTTGAACATGCATACACATATACAGGGGTCGTCAGGGTCGGGATCGAACCCACGAACGCCTGTATACCAGGCGAGGTAGTTAACATCTCCTATCCACCATGATGATGATGAGAGAGAGAAATTGCAAATTCCAAATATACAGCAGCAGGCATCGTCAGGGTCGGGATCGAACCTACGACCTTCTGTGTACCAGGCGAGGTAGTTAACATCTCCTAGCCACCGTGATGATGATGAGAGAGAGAAAGGCAAAATTCCAAATATACAGCAGGCGTCAGGGTCGGGATCGAACCCACGACCTCCTGTGCACCAGGCGAGGTAGTTAACATCTCCTATCCACCGTGATGATGATGAGAGAGAGAAACGCAATCTCCAAATATACAGCAGGCATCGTCAGGGTGGGGATCGAACCCGCGACCTCCTGTGTACCAGGCGAGGTAGTTAACATCTCCCAGCCACCGCGGCTTCTCATCGTCACCCTTCTTCCTCAGCAGGTCCCTCTGAAGGCGATCGAGCGGGAGCTCACGTGCCCCATGTGCAAGGAGCTGTACGCGACGCCGCTCCTGCTGCCGTGCCAGCACAGCGCCTGCCGCGCCTGCATCAAGGACGCACTGCTACTGCTGGGACGCGGATCGAGCCCAGGGGGGGCTCCCTTCCAGGTGGGAGATTGGGGGGGGGGGGTGCCGTGTATAGCAGAGAGGAGCTCACACACAGGCAGGGTGACGGTGGTGTGCGAGGGGGAGTTCTCTGAGTCTCCCTCTCTCTCTCTCTGAGTCTCACTGTGTATCTCCGTGCTTCGCCGAGTCTCGATGCATCTCTTGAGTCTGCCTGTGTCTCGTCGAGTCTCCGAGTCTCACCGAGTCTCTCGACGTTTCGCCGAGGCTCTGCGAGTTTCGTTGAGTCTCTCTGAGTCTTTCGGTGTCTGTCTGGGTCTCGCTGAGTCTCTGGGGAGGTATCTGAGTCTCTAAGTGGAAAGTGTCTCCGTGTTTCTCGGAATTTATGAATAGAGTCTCTTTCTGGGTTTATGAATTGCTGTGGCGGTGCCTGCGTCTCTCAATAGATCATTTCTGAGTCTGTCAATATATCATTTCTGAGTCTCTGAATAGAGAGGTTTTGAGTCTCTGAATCAATAATATTTGAGTCTCTGAATAGAGAGGTTCTGAGTCACTGAAAGAGAGAATATCTGAGTCTGAATAGAGAGTCTCTGAATTTAGAGTCTCCGCATAGAGAACATCTGAGCCTCTAAATATAAGTATCTGAATCTCACTAGAATTCTAAACGTGGAGACTAAAACTGGAAGACCCGCAGAAAAATCCACGCGACCACGGAGAGAGAAAGAGAGGGAGAGGCACCGCAAACTCTAAATATACAGCAGCAGGCGTCAGGGTCGGGATCGAACCCACGACCTCCTCCATACCTGGCGAGGCAGTTAACATCTCCTAGCCACCGTGATGATGATGAGAGAGAGAGACACAAACTCAACATATACAGCAGCAGGCGTCGGGGTCCAGAGATCGAACCCATGCCTGCTGCATACCAGGCGAGGCAATTAACATCTCCTAGCCACCGTGATGATGATGATGATGAGAGAGAGACACAAACTCCAAATATACAACAGCAGGCGTCAGTGTCCAGGGATCGAACCCACGACCTCCTGTAGACCAGGCGAGGCAGTTAACATCTCCTAGCCACCGTGATGATGATGAGAGAGAGAGAGAGACTCAACATATACAGCAGCAGGCGTCAGTGTCCAGGGATCGAACCCATGCCCTGCTGCATACCAGGCGAGGCAGTTAACATCTCCTAGCCACTGTGATGATGATGATGAGAGAGAGACAACCAAACTCCAATATACAGCAGCAGGCGTCAGGGTCCACGGATCGAACCCATGCCTGCTGCATACCAGGCGAGGCAGTTAACATCTCCTAGCCACCGTGATGATGATGAGAGAGAGAGACGCAAACTCAACATATACAGCAGCAGGCGTCGGGGTCCAGAGATTGAACCCACGACCTCCTGTACACCAGGCGAGGTAGTTAACATCTCCTAGCCACCGTGATGATGATGAGAGAGAGAGACACAAACTCAAAATATAAAGCAGCAGGCGTCAGTGTCCAGGGATCGAACCCATGCCCTGCTGCATACCAGGCGAGGCAGTTAACATCTCCTAGTCACCGTGATGATGATGAGAGAGACACAAACTCAACATATACAGCAGCAGGCGTCAGTGTCCAGGGATCGAACCCATGCCCTATCGCATACCTGGCGAGGCAGTTAACATCTCCTAGTCACAGTGGCAGCCCTCTGATGACCCCCCCCCCCCCTCGTGTTGCAGGCGCTGGCCCAGGAAGAGCAGCACGGATCTCAGCACTCCTCTCCCGGCCTGACGCCCACCCACAGCCCCCGGGGGCCCAAGTCGCCCGCCTCAGGCCCCTCGCCGTGCAGCCCGGGCTCTGCCGCGGCGTCTCCCGTCGGCCTGGCGGGGCCCCTGCCGCACGCAGACCGCGGGGAGGCCAACAGCAGGGCCCAGCGGCCCGGTCAGTGGGGGCCCCACAACACCCCCCCCCCCCCCCCCCCACCACGCGCGCTCCACCCGCGGCCGTTCATCGGTTATCCCGAAGCGCGATAAGGAAGGGCACTTGCCCGAAACGTCGCGTATTGTACTTTGTGTGTGTTGGGGGGCGGGGGGGTGGGTGGTGCTTGTGGTTCGCGTGCTGAGCTGCGAACCCGGCGAGCCGAGTTCGATTGCCGCTCACGTCCACCTCCAACACCAGTGACGATTTATCTGAACCGGTCCTGGGCTTCCTCCCCTAGGTCGACTCAGCATAAAATGAGTACCTTGGTGCGGTCTGTCAAATCGTCGCCACTGTGGAAACAAAGGCGGCCGGGAGTGGTGGTGGGCACCCACCCCCTCGTGTGCCGTGCCGGTCTTCATAGGTTACTCCTCGCGAACAGCACTTGCCACAACAGTCTGTGAAGGCTACACGGGGGGATCTTTGTCTTTGTATTGTCCTTTAAGACCACAGTGTCATTGGTGAATGTTTTGAGTTTTGCGAAGTGTGTTTGGACACCGCTGCCAACGCAGCAACAACATCAGCAGCAACATCGCCCCCCCCCCCCCCCCCACGTGGTTAACCTTCATACACCACACGTGCCGACTCTGCCAATCGGGAAACACTGAACCAAGCGTACACACAACACCTTGAAACATAATGGTTTATAAGACGTGCAAAGATAAGCTATTTCAAATAATAATGGTGAGTGGATTATCCGTCGTTTTAAAAAAATCTGGCCACCCCTTCCCCCCCCCCGAAGTGGTGTGATAATCGATTATCTACCGTACGTGTGATTGTGTTGGTCTCTTAACTTCGATTTTGATATGTTCATGGTAGTTTTCACGCGAGGTTCAGAATCGATAATTATTTATTTATAATTGAGGAATCCGATTACCTATGAAGCTCCTTTTTACTCACAGATGTCAAGTAGGGGGATCCATGGGGTCAGAATATTATAAACACCCAAGACTGTATGAAACAAGTATAATCGGTTTTACCCTTTCTGGCAATAAAACCTGAAGACGGCTGCTTGCGTTGTAGCCGAAACGTCGTGAGAATTATTTTATTTTATTATGTTTATTTTCATTATTTTATTACTTCCCTTCTACGTGACTTTACCGAAAGAACCAAGAAGAAGAAAAAATAAAACAGGTGTTTAGATATTCATATTCTTGGTTCTTTCGGTAAAGTCACGTAGAAGGGAAATAATAAAATAATATTAATATAAAAATGTTTTAAATATTAATATTATTTTATTATTTCCCTTCTACGTGACTTTACCGAAAGAACCAAGAATATGAATCCCTGCAGTCACGAAAGCTTTAAATCAAGGTGTTTAGATGTTCAAACACCTAATAGAAACCTTTTGCGAGGAATCAAGTCCTGCATTAACCACACAGTACTTGTGGTGAACATGCAAACCAACATGGTCTGATAATATTTGCATTGTCTTTGAAACTGATTGGTTTACACCAGAGACAACCTTCTTTAGGGCCTCGTTTCACCAGTGTTAGACCAGAAAATGCCAAATAAGTATAACCCGTAAAAACAAAGTTTTCACTATAAATCCTTTATATGCGTGGCGGCGAACTTATTTAAAGGATTTAAAAATATATTCGCCTGTGGAGGACGCGGGGATCGATCCCGCGACCTTTGGCATGGGAAGCGAGGGCGCTACCAACTGCGCTACTCCGCCACGGCCTGTGGAGGGGTTACGCTCTGGGCTCTTATACTGTGGCGTTCAGCCAAAGCGACGAATGAGTTCTATTTGAATATATGTAAAATATATATTTTTTGCCTAAACAGTGTAAAATTTTGGGAATTTTTTTCACGAACATTAATTGTCTGGCACAACGAGTCTGTGTGAAAAATGTCAGCTCGATTGGATCACGGGAAGTGGGTTAAAAAACGACCAAAAGATTTGCACGGTCGTAAGCAAGCAAGCACGCAAGCAAGCATGCGAACTTAATATAAATGATTTAAAAAGGTGAACAAGATCAAGACAATGAACGTATCAGAGTATGCATAACTCGGGGTGAGCAGCTACATCACGGGACCTTTTTTCCCGTATCAAAGTATGTCAAACAATAATAGATGTTAGCCTTACTGGCAATAAAACAGGAGGTACTATTTGGTTATTTCGGTAAAGTCAAGTAGAAAGAAAAATAAATTAAACAAATTAATTGCTACGTGACTTTACCGAAAAACCAACGAGTAATTCTTGCAGTCACGAAAGCTCTAAATCAAGTTTAAAACAGGAGGTGTTCAGATGTTCAAACACCAAATAGAAACATTTGTAAGGAATCAAGTCTGCGTTAACCACACACAGTACTTCTGGTGGACATGCAAATAAACGTTGATGATATTCTTGGTTCTTTCGGTAAAGTCACGTAGAAGGGAAGTAATAAAATAATCCAAATATAAAACAATAAAAATTATCACGACGTTTCGACTGCAACACAAGCAACCATCATCAGGTGTAAAATCCACAGCAAGTCGAAACGTCGTGAGAATTTGTATTGTTTAATATTTTTATTATTTTATTATTTTCCTTCTACGTGACTTTACCGAAACAACCAAAAATATGAATCACTGCAGTCACGAAAGCTTTAAATCAAAACGTTGATCATGTTTGCATTGTCTTTGGAACTGATTGGCCTACACCAGGTGAGGTAGTGATACAAATCTCTACGTAGGCAAGCCATGTGACAGCGACGTCACCGCCACCATCACCATAGCAGCAGATTCAAGATGTAATTTTAGACGTCGTTATCCACTCAATTGTCTGCTCAGAAGCAGCGTTGATCATCGTCCGTTCCTTTTTCAAAGGAGTGAAGGCGGCGGCGGTGGCGGCGGAGCGTTTACGATGTGCGGGTCGATGGTTCTTAGAAGGCGCCATTCGTGGCATCGCGTTGCCGCATCAGCCACGTGGCCCGGCTCCCGATTCGGTTGATGGCCGACCCATTGTCGGCGTGGGACGGTGAAACCGGGTGAGGTTCCACGGTTGAGAGAGACGCTCGTTTCGTGACTTCGGCCGCACCGCAGAACTCTCGCCTCCATCTCTCGCCTTCAATTCGTATTTGCGGCGTCGAGCGAAGCTCCGGCTGTGATCGAGAAGGGGGTGGACCGACCCAGCGGTCCCTCCGTCGCGGTAGGCAGCACCAGGATGAAGTGATCCGTGAAGCTGCCACCGAAGATGTTTTTCACGTCGAGAATTCTTTGCCGGAATATCACTGCGGTCGTTACTTTCGCTCGTTTGCCCGGGAAATCCTGACTTGGGTCTCAAGACTCGTTTTGTCAGGAGGGTGCTTCCTAGGAAGGGGACCGATGCTGCTGCTGCAGCTGCGTATTATCCCGATTGACAAAAAAAACCCGTTAAAATGAAAACTTAAAAATATTACATGTAACTAAAAGTAAAATTATAGCTTTAAAATAATCCAGGAGAGTAGACATTCAAAACATAACAAAACACCAGCAGCAACAAGAGCAACCACGACGAGAACAACGCCGACGACAGCAGCCATCGCGCTGATCCTGACAGGCGCCTCCGAAATGGAAGCAACGACTCCCACGGATGATACGAGGACAACCATAAACCATGTGACAAGTCGCGACGGCGGCCTCGACAGACTGACGGAGACGCGAAGTGACGGGACGGAGTGGGCACCGGGTGGGAGAGACGCGGGCGGGCGAGTGGGGCGAGTGGCTGTCCACCCACGCCCTACCGCTCCCACTCCACCCCCACCAAATATTGCGACTCGTCGACCTCTTGAGCGCCCGACACAGCGAGAGAGAGAGAGAGATCACTCTGGCGGTGCTGGGATCGCTTCACAAACCCCGTCGTGACGCTGAGCAGTGTCGTCACCTGTCAGTCGGGGCAATGCGATGCGGAGTCAGTTTAAAACGGAGGCAATCGCGGACGAAACAGGAGGAGGATTTCTCCACAAACTCTGGCTGTCATCTGATGATGCTAGTGGTAATTACTGGCTGTCGCCTGATGATGCTAGTGGTAATTACTGGCTGTCACCTGATGATGCTAGTGGTAATTACTGGCTGTCGCCTGATGATGCTAGTTGTAATTACTGACTGTCACCTGATGATGCTAGTGGTAATTACTGGCTGTCGCCTGATGATGCTAGTTGTAATTACTGACTGTCACCTGATGATGCTAGTGGTAATTACTGGCTGTCGCCTGATGATGCTAGTGGTAATTACTGGCTGTCACCTGATGATGCTAGTGGTAATTACTGGCTGTCGCCTGATGATGCTAGTTGTAATTACTGACTGTCACCTGATGATGCTAGTGGTAATTACTGGCTGTCGCCTGATGATGCTAGTGGTAATTACTGGCTGTCACGTGATGATGCTAGTGGTAATTACTGACTGTCACGTGATGATGCTAGTGGTAATTACTGGCTGTCACGTGATGATGCTAGTGGTAATTACTGGCTGTCACGTGATGATGCTAGTGGTAATTACTGACTGTCACGTGATGATGCTAGTTGTAATTACTGGCTGTCACGTGATGATACTAGTGGTAATTACTGACTGTCACGTGATGATGCTAGTTGTAATTACTGACTGTCACGTGATGATGCTAGTGGTAATTACTGACTGATGATGATAGTTGTAATTACTGACTGTCACGTGATGATGCTAGTGGTAATTACTGGCTGTCACGTGATGATGCTAGTGGTAATTACTGACTGTCACGTGATGATGCTAGTGGTAATTACTGGCTGTCACGTGATGATGCTAGTGGTAATTACGGACTGTTACGTGATGATGCTAGTGGTAATTACTGGCTGTCACGTGATGATGCTAGTGGTAATTACTGACTGTCACGTGATGATGCTAGTGGTAATTACTGGCTGTCACGTGATGATGCTAGTGGTAATTACTGGCTGTCACGTGATGATGCTAGTGGTAATTACTGGCTGTCACGTGATGATGCTAGTGGTAATTACTGGCTGTCACGTGAT